AAAGGGTCAAGAGTGAGGCGAACCGTGCTTCCTGGAATGAATGGCGTTGACCACAGACAGAAGGGACGAGGAGTCGGCCGAGACGGGCTGAGACCCAACGACCGATATTGCGGGGCAGATCAAGGAGGTCGACTCCGCCGAGCTCAGCGCTAGCGCTCGTCTTATTGGCCCTTCACCTCAGCCCAGTCCTCCTTACCGACTCCGACCCTGACGATTGAAAGGGAAATAAAGTCAATCTGGGGTTTCAATGAGGGTGAAAAGGAAAATTCCCCCCATAATATAAACCCATCGTGGGGCGCTCGCAGCCTTTCTTTCCGATTGTTTTTATTACGCCACCAGAGGAAAATAAAACGGATTTATAATAATGACTATAATCATAAAAATATTATTATCTAACAAATGGGTTGCAGCCAAACAATTGGTTCCTCCTCCTTTTCGACAGCTCCCATATTTCCGCTCAGAGTTAGCCAGACGAGATCGGCTCTTTTGTCCAGGTAGAGTGGACCGGGAAAGAAAAAGACTGTGGAGGGCCACGAGGCACGAGGCTCTGCGGAGAGGTCCCGGCTGGACAGGGCCACGATGTAGGAAGGATCTGGAGGGGCTGGCTGGAGAGGATTTTTCGATCAGCCCGGACAGAAACGGGCTGGAGAGGAGCGCGAACTGGAGAACCAGTGTAGTGGGAGGTTGGTGGAGGGACGACGCCGTGGGAGAGGGACACGGGGAGGGAGGGGAGGGGAACGGGGTTGTCCTGGCGGATCACCCTCCCGCCCTCATTGGACGATCTCCGATTTCCACTTAGGACGGCGCCGCTGCCCGCCCAGCTCACTACCAATTTCCCGTCCCGGGCCTCGGCCACTCCCGCCCCGTTCCGCCCCGCCCCTTCGCGCTGCGGTCACTAAACTGCCCTCGGGTCCGCCCACTGGGGCTCATACAGGGCGGCATACACTAGCTCAGCGGAGCGCTCGCCTCGCCCGCCTATAAATACAGGCAAAACAAGGGGGTGTCGTCGTGCGCCGTCGCGAACATGGCGCGAGTCGGGCACAACTCGATCAATAATGGCACCAGAAAAATAAGAATGGAATTTGCATTTTGTGACTGTGTGTGTATAGCGCCCTTTTGTAAACGGGCGGCAGGCCGCGGCGTGCAGACTATCGGACTACCATGTTGCTCATTGACGCCTTGGGACTGTCCGCCCGGCCCGCGCCGCCTAGTGTAAGGCTTCCTCTCGGTCCTGGCGCCCGCCCCGGCCCCGCCCGCCTGAGCCGCAGACGGCGACGACGTCGTGGTGAGAGGGGGAGAGAGACACGGGGGGTGAGGGCAGAATTAAATTTATAAATCTGGCGTCTATTTTTACGTTGGCGGGCGAGAAGATGGAGGCCATTACGCACCGCGACCCGCGACACGCCCCCCCCCCTCCAACCTCCTCCCACCCGGCGGACGACATATACTACAAGGGGGTGCAAGGTTGGGGTTTATAAGCGGAGCTGACCATTATTCTGCGACCAGTTAGTTTCGCGTTCGGGTTTCTCGCCTACTACTTAAATCAACAATAACACTAACCAAACCATAATTCGTTTTGTTGCGCCGATAAGCACAACCCATATGCAGAAATTCTAAACAGACATTCTTTTTTCCACAATTATTGTGTTATGTACAGTTTGTCCAGAACTATGCATAAAACTTATGGCTGTTTAAAACTTTGCATGTTTATGCACAACAAAATCCAAATAGGTTTTGTGCAGAACGTATACGCAAAGAAATCACACATTCGCAAGTCACCACGGAACACATACTTCGTCCTCGAACGGCTTCAGCCGCTGCTGCGTTGCAAATGGGTATAAAAAAAATGCAGCGACAATCCGACAATCAGGGAACATTTTCAAGCTCTCTCTCGCTCTCTTTGTCCGACGCCCGCTTCCTCCATCCGCACCACAATTCCCCTTCTCGGGCACAGTCTGTCCGTTCGTCCATCCGTCCGTCTGTCTTGCCCAGCCTCCCCTCTCGCACTAAAGCGTTTTGTTTCTGTTGCTTCCCCTTGTTCAGGGAGGTGCAGAAAGGAAAAGAGCGGGCGGGAGGAGGGAAGGGGTCGGAGCAGCTGGCGATTTCGCTCTCCGTCTCGCCGTATCGAATAAATCGGCGCTTTATCGAGTTGGCTACCGATTTTGAAGCGGGACTCGGTTCGTTGCGGCGGGTGTCGGCAAAGAAAGGAGCTCGTTATTATAGGTCTCGCATCGCTGCAGACGGCCGGGAGCAGCGCGATTGGTAGCGCGATTATCACTGTTATTGTGACGACTATTCTGATTATGGCATTATTATGAAACATTGGGGTGAAGGGTAGGGGGTAGGGGGTGGATTACATGATTTACAGTTAATTCCTATACCAGTGACAGATGCAAACAACAGAGCGCCGGCCGAGCAGATGCGACCCAATAATACCGCTGTTTGGAGGGTCGCCAGCCCTCGCTCCCGCCCTGCTCCTCCTAGCCCCTCCTCATCCTCCTCCATTCAGTGTGCGCCCCGCAGGCTGACGCGCCACATAGCCTCCTCTCCCTCGTATAACCAATTTACTAGAGCAACTTTGGCTTGACCTGCCCGACGCTGCTGCCGCCACCCGCCATCTGCTCGATTCCATCCAGACGAAAATTCCGCGTCTTCGCCTCGCCCTATAAAGCCCTTTGTACGGCGTCAGAGACGAGGGGTGCCCCTCTCCGCCCCTCCCCCAACCGGGGCACAGGGAGGTGGGGCGCCACCTTGCGGCCGTACCTGCGGCTAGAACACCCTTCCCGGTGCCGGTGCTTCTCTACTACTTGGCCAAGTTCACTGACTTGACCTGACAGTCTCTGTAAGCCGCTGTGCAGCAGTCGAGGTGGAGGTGAGCAAGAGGGAGAAGGGGAAAGGGGGGGGGGGGGTCCCTTCCCCGGGCCCGAGGGGCACCGGCAAGACAACGCAAATAGCGAGGAGCAGGTATACGGACGGGAGTGTGGCGGCGGCGGCGGTTGAGCCCCACGGGGCGTGACGGGGACCTAAACCTGCCTCTGTCACGGACGTAACTTCGATTGAGGCTTCGCCAGGACCGGCGACTCTAGGCCGACTAGGGGTCCCTCTGGACGGGTCGCGTCCCGGGCTCGGGTCCGGCGCGGTGCGGGGCGGCCCCCGGGATCAGGAGGAGCAAGGCGAAGGGCCCGGCGGAGCCAGGCGGAGCCCAGGGGTTCGGGGTCTTCATTTTGGGACCAAAGACGCCCGCCGTCCACCCCCGCTAAGCGCCCTGCGCCGCGCCTCGCCGCTACCGCACCCCACCCCTAGTGTGGATGAGGAAGAGTGAGAGGCACCCAGCACGACGCTATATATGGTGTGTGTGTGTGTGTGTGAAAGAGAGAGAGAGAGAGAGGGGGGGGGGTGCGTGGGGGTGTCTCCGGGTGAAGATGCTACGATTCAATTAAAGCCGACGACCTCGCTGGTCACACAGATGGCGGGGCGAGCGGCCGCCGATTACTTTGATAACGTCTAACTGAACCGACCCCCGGCCGACTGGCGGTGCAGATGCCTCGCGCCTCACCAAGACCCGCCGAGTGTGCCCTCTTCTATTCAATCGCGAAAACCGGGAAGGGGCAAAAAAGAAGGGAAGAAAAGAGTAGTGGAAGCGAAAGATTTCTCTCTCCGGTTGTGCAGCCGGTCACTCAGCCACACATCGCTACTCGTAAAGGGGGCTGTCCGGGGTGATTTATTTACTGGCTATTGACCAGTAAAAGCGGAGCGCGGTGCGGCCGGACAAAGAGGCGGCCATTGAAACGAGCCGAAACATTTGGCTCCCCTGTCACGTGGCGGACCTAACGCAGCCAGAAGCACACACGCGCACAAAACCACCCCCTCTCTTCTTTTACGCTCGAAATCGATTGCTCCTCTCCTCAGCGGCCGCCCGATTGGGGCTCAGTGATTAAACAGGATTCCAGTGTTAAATGAAAGTGAAAAGGTCGGCGGGCGGATTAAGCGGTAGGCCTATTCCATCATCATCATCATCACTTCGAAGAAATTCTCCTCGCTTGTCGAGCCTCTTGCCCTCGTGCATCGCTGCTCGGGCTGCTCTCTGTGGCGTCAACAATTTTACTAAAAGCATTTTGCCGTACCGCACAGTGCATCCCCTCTCCCCTACTCCTATACTTTCTTTTTGCCTCCCCATTCGATATCCGCTCGCCTCGGCGATGATCGCTAAAGTTTCGGGTGCGGGCGCACGGTCAAACATATTCCGCCTTTTCCTCCTCCTCGCATCCCCGGCGGGTTTGTTTCACACTGCCTTTGACCCCTCCTCGCCCCCCTTTCCTCCCTCTCCCTCTAACCCCCCCCCCCTTTCTCTCTCACACACACACACTAACGCAATTCAGCAGCTCTGTACAGAGGTTATATCGGCCACCCCCACAAAGGCCTTAATTAAAATGGAAACAAAACAGCAAAGCAGGAGAGGGCAAAGTGTAGTGATAGCCTACTCGGCACACAGCTTCACCAACACCCCCCCCCCCTTCCTCCCCGGTCCCGCGGTGGTAAATCAACTAGCCGCATCAGGGCCGTAGTAATCGGGTCATATCAAAGCGGATCACTGGGAGTGGTTCACCAGGACGATTTACGCTGCACCCTCGGCGGCTCATGGCCTTCTTTGCACTGTCAGCTCCCCTGTCACGAGACAGCAGGAGGGTTTCAGATGAGCGCGATCGCGGGGGAAAAAGATGACTCTTCCGTCGACGCGCGCGGGCGGAACAAAGAGTGGGTGGGCTTCTATCGGCGCTTGAATTGACCAGGAATGCACCAGAAAATGCGCTGACGTCATCCGATCGCTCCATCTCCGGCGTGACAATGCGAGGTGACCGTCCCTTTTGTAAACGCTAACCCCTCCTCTATCCATTTTGCAAACCTCAGCCTGCCGGTGTCAGCTTTCCAGCTCTAGCGCACATCGTGGTGTAAAAGGGGTGGCTGTGTGTCGTTGAGTATAGTCAGAAAACAACGCCAAGAAAGGTTTTCAGCTATCTTTAATTTTTACAGGATTTTTCAGGTTGAACAGAGTCGTGGACAAAAAATCTAGCCTGAGGTTCGTGAGTTCGAACCATACAATCAGGCCTCGTTGAGACTACCTCCACGGATCACACACAAATTTCAATTCTCACACTTGTTTGATTTCGGCTCACAAAGTTTACATAAGTTTAAGAATTCTAGCGTTGTTTATAAACCACGCGTTTTAAAAATATTTCCAGAATAGTTTCTCATGATACAAATACAGAGCGGACAAGGCCGAAACGATAATAATTTATTTTGCTGTAAGTTTTTTGGAGTAAGAGTCTGGTATGTACTTAAAGAAAAGTGTTTTCTACAGCACATGAGAAGGAACCTCATTGAAAGTACCGATGGCTAGCTTATTTGTATGTCTTTAATTGAAGTCGGAACCAGGTGCTTATTTCCTTCAAAGAAATTTACCCGTATTATTCCACTAAATTCCTTACTTTAAGAAATTTCTGTCGGAGATCGAAATAAGTCTGAGAAGTAATTCATGTAAAAAAATTTAGACAACTGTCTACAAACTCTCGTTTTTCAATTTAACTAAATTTTCATTTAATACTTTTCCCTGATGTTAAAGAATACTATGAAGAAGTCAGATATGGTAACCTGTCCTGAAGAACGTTGATTACAATTCTTGGAGATATGAAGTCGCTTTGTACTGCTCTATGCTCAACAGTACTTTAATACTTAAGAAGACATTTCTATCTACTTTAAAGCTATTTGTCACACAAATCCAGACATAAAATGACTGAACTATGAAGATCATTGAAAGACGAGATTAGAACAAATGATTATTATGAGCTTCGTGTCATCCACTTTGCTCGTCTTAACTCGTTCCCTCGTCAGTAGGCAATGCGCCATATTAAGTTTCTTCAGGTTAGGTAACCTTTTCAAAAATCACGTTTCCTAATATTAACCCTATATACATATATAATCCATCAAGAACAGGCAATTTACAGAAAATATCGACAAATAAGACTTACGGTAATTTCCCTAATCTAGATACTAAAATTAGTAGCACCATCGTTTGATTTTGGTAATTTTGCTGAGCAGAAGTGACTCGAGGAATACAATTATTAGGTTATTTTTACTCCCGTTGAGCAATACAGAAGTACTGTAAAGTTCATCTAACCCCAAAAGCAGCCATCTTCACTGCACTGAAACAAGCTAGCTTTCGGTACAACCAAAACAAATAAACCTAACAGAAAAATAATCACAAAAATTATGTGAGTAACAAGACGTCAAGTCAGATTCAGAATTGAATCAGATTACTTTAGTAACACACATGTAATCACTTGACGGCTTATTTCTCACAAACTTAAAGTGAGCATTGGTCATTTCCGGTAACGATTATAATTTTCTAAAGAGCGAGCCATTATTTTCACGCGCTAATCATCATCCTCTCATAAGCATTCGTTGACGATTGTCGCCAAAGAAAACTTGCGTTTGAGCGTTAGGAGGCATAAGCATGTTTAGCACGCTGCGTACAATTTGCGGAAGTCCGTTCACACTGATAGGAGGAGGTTGAAAACCGAGTAAAACGTTCTATAGATTTTACACCATTAAGAGTATACTCCACATTAAACCTCTTAATAATCGGTGTATACTTTATCCACAAAATAAAAATCTGTAAAGGCCTATGTTTATGATTCTTGCATGTGACTGCGCGTTAGAGCTACCACCAAATAATATCAAATTCAATGAACACAAGATTCAGGCATCTCACCTCTGAGATTCACCGCCGCACTATAGACAGCCTCCTTTTGCACAATATATATCAGTCGTATTTTAGCATCCATTGTAAAGCATGTTTATCATTTCAATACTATATCATAACACATTGCTCGTAGATTACCAGCAGCTCAGTTAAACAATTAACAGCCTGCTATGAAACAGCCGACAGACTCTTAAGTGATGGTATTAGAATCAATTATTGCATTTTGAATACTGGAACTTACAATAGAAGATTTGAGCACGGATGCATAGATTAGTAGCAAACAACCAAGGCAGTTATGGACCCTTCATACATGCTGAGTTATTCCTTTTTGTCATTTCTTTGTACGCAGAAACACTTAAAATTCACAACACAAGATCATAATACACATGGGCCGCTAGCAAGACCATATTCAACTCTAGGATAGACGTGAGAAGTCAACTACGTCCTAGTAAAAAAGTCAAATACTAGAATCCCGCTAACTGAATTTTTGAACTCACTAGTGGTGTAATATGTGGAAGCGCTCACGGAGGGACAGCTAAACGAGAGGACCATCGGTCAACTACAAAGAAATCGTCAAATCAATATTCGTTTTTTAGATGTCTTGAAAAGGCTGTCTTTTCCTTCAAATTTGTGAATTTGTAGGAAAGCTATCCAGATCCTCGCATTTAGCGTGACCGTATGTGCTCTCTCAGGGTAAGAAGACGACATAGATTTCATGAAAGGAATCTGAGTAAGTGACCTTGACTGTGTAGAGCATCAGTAAAGCAGCAATTTTTTCGCACCAGTTTACTTAAGCCTTGATTTATCACAGTCACACAACTAGAACGCAGCACGAACATTGGACACATTCGTGCATGAGGACAGTTCCCCACTCCATTCGGCACAAACTTTGTAGAAATCGATCCAAGATGCTGCTGGTAGCTTGCTTGGTCGAGCGGACAGGAACCAATAAACTTCTCAGAGGAAGAACTTGTCGGCACAATAGAACCCACGCCGAGACGAAGAGGGTCATGTATTTTTATGTCTTTATCAGAGGAAGAATTCACATCAGAGTATTTATCGGAAACGAATGACCACCAAACGTGTTGGAAGACCAACTAGTACAGTACTGATAATACTTTGATTTGTAACACCAACAAAATCTTTGTCGTTTATGTTATAGAAGTAGGAGCGTACGAATAAAACTGAGAGAGCACATTGAGGCCATAAATTAATCTTCAAAAATGATTTAATAAAATAAAATGCTTTTATCTCTTTTTCTGTACAAAGTAGTTCTTTACAATCGTAACTAACATTACACTGTACATATGTACACGTGAGAATACTAGCAAGTATCACATTATGGGTAGCACAAACATAATGAATCACTGGTATAAAAAATGAATGATTTTATTATTATGTATATAAATATGAAATATGTACAAAAATATCAATCTGGCCCGAGAAACTTAGATATCTTTCCTTGTGCTGCATTTGTAAAGGTACAAGACAAACAATATCGAACAATCAAATCGATCAATCAAAAAATAAAAACATACGCAATCTAATATAAACAGTCTCCAAGCACTCCGTTGATTTAACGCACTACGTTTCCAGGAGAGAGTGGAGAAAGAACACTACACGGCACAATAAAAATGTCTTTAAGTATTGTTAAGGTACATGGGTTTCATTTCCATTGTCATTCAGTCCGCAGGCGACGTGACACTCACACACACTCACTCTTGCAGGCGGCCCGCACCGCGCCCGCCACACTCACGCACACACTCACGTCCACGACGCGTCGCACGCGCCGTCGCTGCCCGGCACACTGTTCCCGCTCCCGGAGGAGCTGCCGTGTCCGGGCGGCTCAGGACGTCACAGGCTACTGCCAAACTCGGACGAACGTCTCCGGTCTATGTGCCTCAGGTACGTTTCCGAGTACACGCTCTTGGTCCGGTCGTCGAACCGGAGCGACGGCCGCCGCATATCAAGTGCGTCCAGGTCGGACGGCGGCCGTCGGCACAGTGAGCAGAACGCGCACTGCAACGTGTTCTTGAACGCCTCTCGGAAGTCGCGATTGAAGTAGGCGTAAATAAGGGGGTTGAGCGTCGAGTTGAAGTAGCCGATCCAGAAGAGGAGCGCCACGACGACGTCAGGACAGTAGCACGCGTCGCCGCACAGCGTCGTGATCACGTACCTGCAAACGGCAGCACGAGTCAGAAAACTGCCAAACGGTGCACATTGGCTAACCGCGCAGGCGTCAGCCGGCGTCAGCCGGCGTCAGCTGCAGCTACAAAATCCAATTCTCCCGTCTGACGCACACAAGAACATGGCGTTGTAACCATGGACATGTGAAAGGCTGTTCTCAGCTACCCGTCCCGCACGAACCGATCTTGTAATATATTGTAACAGTAAACGACAGAGCTGATAACACTCACCACAGGAAGAAAGGTAGCCAGCAGAGAATGAAGATGCCCATGATGATGCCGAGCGTCTTGGCAGCCTTGTGCTCGCGCTTCATCTTGCTGATCTGCCTGTCCTTGGTGGGCGTGCTCTGGGCCGCCTCGTGCAGCGTGAGGGCCTTGTTGGAGCCGCCCGAGAGAGCGTCGCCGTTGGACGCGCCGTGTGACATCATCATGGCGTTGCCCATGCGATTGTGCATCTGCTTCTCCTGCCGATTGGCCTCTTTAAAGATGGCGAGGTATGTGAAGATCATGATGGTGCACGGGATCCAGAAGGAGATGGACGACGAGATGATGGCGTACAGCTTGTTCACCTGCAACGAGAAAGAAAATGTCATCGGTTAGTCCTCAACGTTTTCTCTGATTTGACCGGGTCGCGATCCGCGGCGCAGCACCTCGCAAATTGACCCCTCCGTTTCCGAATGTCGCTTGGACTGATGAAAAATGGGGCGGGGGTGGCGGTGGGACCAAGTTAATTTCCTGCGGTTTAGACCCTCCCAGCCCTCCCCAACCTCCACCCCACACACAAGTCACTCCTACGCGAATCGGGGGGAAAACATCCGTTTCAACCGCTCCCTCTGCTTCCCCCCGCCCCGGCCCCTCTCCCCGTCGCGCCCAAACACAAAATAAGTGAAAAATGTCCCCGAGTTTGCTGTAGTTTGGCAACATTCCCCGGAGGCCCTCGGCCCTGGGGCCGCGCGCCGCGCCGTGTTTGTGGTCCGATCGCCATTCGATACTTGGCCCATAATTTATTCCTCGGTCCCGGCGGGAGTACAAACCATTCATCTGCATTAGAGCTGGCCGGCCGCGGGCCCGCTGCGCGCGGCGCGGCGCTGTGCGGCGTGTGTCGCGGCCACCTTGGGCTCGGGCGGGGCGCAGGACCGCCGCGCCGCGCAGCCGCGGAATGCTTTGACGCACTGCTCGCAGCGCGGGCCTCGCTAGCAAGCATGACCCGCTATTCGCAGCGCACAAGCTTTGAGAGGCTGCCAGTTATCTCTGTGCTATTAAAGCGGAGCCGAGTGGGGCTCCCGCGCATAATGCGCTTTCATCTCAAAACGCCGCGGCAGGGCATGTACCGTGGCGCGGCGGGGCATGGCATGACGACTCCCGGCAGCAGTCAGGGTAGTGTCCCGTGGGGTGCCCCGCCGTGGGGTGTCCCGTGGGGTGTCCCGTGGGGTGTCCCGCCGTGGGGTGTCCCGTGGGGTGTCCCGTCCGCCCCCCGCTCGGGGCTGAGCCGAGGGTCGACCGGTTCGGGCAACCGTACCGTAATTGGAGTGTTGGGGACCGCGGCGCCCCGCCCCGCCCCGCCCCAGGTCCAGGAACTCACCGGGGCCGCCAATGAAGTTCCCCAGACCCCGCCTGCAGCGCCTGCAGCCCAACAGTTTGGCGTTCTGCGGTTTGCGAATCCCGCGTGGGCCTGGGGGTGTGCGGAGGGGGCGGGCCGGTCGAGCCAAGGCAGCCTGAATGGTCGTCCGGCCAATTTGCGATCAGCGGCGGAAAGCGGAGAGTCTACGCTGCGGGGCGTGGTTGGCGCGGCGCGGAAAACTTTTCGTCGGCGAGCGCAGGCGGGGCGCAGGCGGGGCGCGGGCGGGGCGGGGCGCGGGGCGCGGGCGGGGAGCGCGCGAGTATTTAAAATTCGCGAGGAGTTTGCAGCCGTCCTAATGGCGGGGCCGGGCTGCGCCGGGCGGCGGGCTGATTGGCTCGCTAAATAATGAGGCGACAGGTGTGGCGCCGGCCGGCATTACGCCAGGTAAGCACCTTAATCTCGGCATGAATAAACCAGCGCCCCGCACCTTAAAGAAAGTTGCACCCCTCTCTCCCTCGCTCTGTCTCTCTCTTGCGGGCGCGCTCTCGTGCGCGACGCGATGCTGCGAGCTGAAAAGTTGAGCTGCCGGTGTAGCAAATGGACGGCTGGCGGCCTGGCCCGGTGGCGCCGCTGGCCCTGAATAGAGAGTGGCAGTCGGAGGGCTGCCACCGCGGGGCCGCTATAGGCGCGGAGCCTGGCGGAGCCACCGCTCCGCGAATTGCGAATTACGAGAAATGGAAGAGAGCGGCAGAAATGGCACACACAAAACGAGTCTGCTGAAGTTTCCATCTTATGAAAATGTGCAACAAAATGACACAGTCTGTAAAAGTCAAGAATACACTGGTAAAACAAGTGTGCAATATTTGCACACCAACGTGTGCAAGTTGTGATTTTGCACATTACATGGTGTTTAACTCAAGTTGCACACTTGCGTGGTGTGCAAATTTTAGACGTTTTGTAAACGTTTAAATTCTGCACACTTGGACACACACAGTTC